TTCTGAAACGATAATTGATAATATTTACTAAGAGAAAAATTTAATAAGTTTTCTTCTTTGATGAAGTTGATTAAAGTATGTTATCAAATGTCAGGAAATCATTTATAAACTAATTGGAATATGAAAATAGTATATCGTGCGCTTTTGACGTTACTAATTTTTATGCACGTCAAAACAATTCAAACTTTGATAGGGCCGTTTTTATAAACAACCTATGACTGATTTATTTGAAACTATCATGTCACATCGGTAAAAGTATAGCACAGAGACGACTTTAAAACAGCCGCGACGAATAATCAACCAATTCGAAAACAGCGATTGTGAATGGATAGTTTATGGGAAAGCGAATAATAAACAGATTTTTCATCAATAATAAGACCATTAAAATTTTTTACAGGTTGCTGTAAACAAAGAAGAGATAAATTCATCCAGACAGATATATATTATCAGTCATCAAATACTCTCACATCAAAACCGGAATATTTTTTAGTATCGACAATGTCTTTGATTAGGCTTAGGAATTTGGAGTTATGGTCTCCATTATGAATTGACCACAACTATAATGTAGAAGTGTTTCGTAGCTATATGGATGTAATTATTTCAGACAAAATTTCAAGAGACACTAAATGATTCATTCGGCCAAAAAATATGATTTCAATGGCTTCCTGGTTGTTTCAGGATGGATAGTTTAGGGTTCTGATTTAGGTTTAGTGTATACTTGCCTGTTATATAATATTTAGAGAAAGAAATAATTAACAAGTTAACACATTTAATACGTTTACTTTTACCTTACTAAGGCGAACTTTTTTGACATAATTTTGAACTCTCAAAGCAGCACACACAAAGATATTTCTATTGTTCATTACATATGACACATGGATCTTGTGCGAATACCTCAAATTCTCTTTCTCAATTCCGATTGTCTCTTTCCTATACCATACTTTTACCATCAAATCTAAGTTTAGTATTTTAATAAATCAATTACTAACTGAATTAGGTTACGAAAGTTGAAATTGAATAAATTTGGTAAGATATGAGCTTTTTACACATCAAATCTCAAAATACATTCTCATATTGTTATTATAGACTTACTACCTAATTATTTCAAATCGTTTTCTGGACAGTGAAAACAATTGTTAGTTGATTTACAATAGCGTAACATGTACAAAATCGTCAACCGTTAGGAAAGTTTATTATTTATTAATCATCTATTTTTACCAAATGAACTGAATGATATAAACAGTAATGGATTAAATTCATTTGGTGTTGTTTTACTTGCATCTTCACATTGTTATTTAGGACTGCGATTGATCAGTTTCTTGTTGGCATACGTGCGTCCTATGGGGGATTGCCTCGATACTGCCTTAAGTCACAAGCTTTTTAAGCAAAGATGTATAGTGTCTAACAGTGAAACCCAGTTTGATTCGCGTTTCGTTCTATTAGGAACTCATTAGCTGGATGTACCTGCAGCCTAGACTAGAACCAATTGTTCTCATGTTTATTAGATTTTAACTTCATTGTTGATCAAAGCCTGTAACTCTTCTAGAGTTACTGCCGGTCCCAAGCCCGTGTAAAGGAGGACGGTTAAGCATGGGGTTAGCGACCCCATCTCGTAGAAAACTAACTCGCTAAAAAAACGCTAACCAGAAAAAAATAATTCAAACCATTTAAACTTTGCCCTGAAAGTTAGAAGGTCTTCAATTAGAAGAACTATGACGCCTCATAATGAAAGCCGAGTTCCTTCGCAAGTCACGAGGTTGATGTCTCTTTTAAAAACCAGAACAACAATTTTTATAGGTACATGGAACGTCCAGACAATGTGGGAGACCGGAAAAACCAGTCAAATAGCAACGGAAATAAGGAGATACAACTTGGCAGTACTGAGAATCAGCGAAACTCATTGGACCCAAGCTGGACAACAAAGGATAAATACGGGAGAAATGCTACTATACTCCGGTCATAAAGAGAAAAATGCTCCACACACTCAGGGAGTTGCTCTAATGCTGTCAAAAGTAGCACGAAATGCACTTGTAAGATGAGAATCTCAAGGATCCAGAATCATCAAAGCATCATTCAAAACAAAAAAGGAGGGGATCACAATGAATATTATTCAATGTTATGCACCCACCATTGATAGCAACGACGACATTAAAAATCAATTCTATGAGAGGCTGCAAGGGTGCAAGAGGCTGCGGAGTGCCAAAGAAAGGACCACACGATCCTGATGGGAGATCTAAATGCCAAAGTCGGAATCGACAACACCGGATATGAAGATATCATGGGACGACATGGACGGGGAGAGACAGACGGAAATGGGGAAAGTTTTGCAAATCTGTGCATTCAACAAATTGGTCATAGGAGGCACAATATTTCTACACAAACGTATACACAAAGCTACATGGATCTCACTGGACCACACTACAGAGAACCAGATAGATCATATCTGCATCAATAAGAAATCCCGAAGGACAATGGAGGATGTGAGAAGCAGGAGAGGAGCTGACATAGCTTCAGATCACCATCTAGTTGTGGCCAATTTAAAACTGAAGCTAAAGAAAAACTGGACAACTGGACAAACAGCACTACAAAGGTTCAATACAGCCTTCCTTCGACATACCAACAAAATCAACGAATTCAAGATAGCTCTCAAAAACAGATTCCAAGTCTTACAGGATCTACTGAAAGAAGAAGAAACTACTGTGGAGGACAACTGGAAAAGTATCAAAGAAGCATTTGCTTCAACGTGTCGAGAGGTTCTGGGCCTAAAGAAGCACCATCATAAGGAATGGATCTCTATAGAAACACTGGACAGGATCAAAGAAAGGAAGAACAAGGAGACAGCAATTAACAACAGCCGAACACGAACAGAGAAAGTCTAAGCACAAGCTAAATACATAGAAGCAAACAAGCAAGTGAAGAAGAGCATTAGAGCCGACAAGAAGAAATACGTGGAAGAACTAGCAACGACGGCGGAAAAAGCTGCAAGAGAAGGAAATATGAAACAGCTTTACAATACAACGATGAAACTTTCAGGGAACTATAGTAAACCAGAGAGACCGGTCAAGGACAAAGAAAGCAGGCCAATCACTGAAAGCCAACGACAGCGAAACAGATGGGTAGAGTACTTCGAGGAACTCTTGAATAGGCCAGCTCCTATGAATCCACCGGACATCGAAGCGGCACACACCCTCTTCCTATAGATGTCAGTCCATCAACGACGGAAGAAATCAGAATGGCGATCAAAATAATCAAGAGTGGGAAAGCAGCAGGATCTAACAATATACCAGCTGAAGCACTGAAGTCGGACATCAAAGTAACTACAAACTTGCATCACCTTCGATTCAAGAAGATCTGGGAGGAAGAACAGGTGCCGACGAACTGGAAAGAAAGATACCTCATCAAGATTCCAAAGAAAGGAGGCCTGAGCAAATGTGAAAACTACAGAGGAATCACAATACTGTCAGTACCAGGAAAAGTCTTTAACAGAGTTTTGCTGAACCGGATGAAAGATGTAGTAGACGCCCAACTTTGAGATCAACAAGCTGGATTCCGTAAGGATCGGTCGTGCACAGACCAAATTGCGACACTACGGATCATTATTTGAACAATCAATTGAGTGGAACTCGTCACTGTACATCAAGTTCATTGATTATGAGAAGTCATTTGACAGTGTAGATAGGAGGACGTTATGGAAACTTCTTCAACACTACGGAGTTCTTGAAAAAATTGTCAATATTATCCGGAATTCATATGATGGACTACAGTGCAAGGTCGTGCATGGAGGACAGCTGACAGACGCATTCCTAGTAAGGATAGGAGTCAGACAAAGCTATCTAATCTATCTCTTCCTCTTTCTTCTGGTAGTCGACTGGATTATGAAAACATCGACATCTGATGGAAAACATGGAATACAATAGACAGCTAAGAACAAATTACACGATTCGGACTTCGCAGATCACTTAGTCATTTTATTGCATACACACGAACAAATGCAGATGAAGATATCCAATGTAGCAGCAATCTGTCTCTGCATCAGTAGGCCTCAACATACACAATGGGAAAACCAAGGTCCTGAAACACAACACGGAGAACAGTAATCCAACCACACTTGATGGCGAAATTCTGAAGGATGTAGAATTCTTCACATACCTGGGAAGCATCATTGATGAATGAAGAGGATCTGATGCAGATGTAAATGCGAGGATTGGCAAAGCAATGGCCGCTTTCGTACAATTGGAGAACATATGCAACTCAAAACAACTTTCAAACTATATCAAAGTGAGAATCTTCAATAAGAATGTCAAGGCAGTTCTACTGTATGGAGTTGAAACGTGAAGAACTACAACAATCATCATCAAGAATGTGCAGGTATTTGTAAATAGTTGTTTACGCATGATACTCAACATCCATTGGCCGGATCCCATCAGAAACAGCCTTCTGTTGGAGAGAACAAACCAGCTGCCAGCTGAAGAGGAAATTAAGAAAAGACGATGGAAGTGAATAGGTTATACAGTACGCGAATTACCAAACTGCATCATGAGGCAAGCCCAAACCTGGAATCCTGAAGGGAAGTGAAAAAGTGGAAGGCTGAAGAACTCATAATGTTGGGAAATAGAATCAGATATGAAAAAGTTGAATAACAACTGTAAAGAGCTGGAAAGAATTGCGCAGGACAGGATTGGATGGAGAATACTGGTGAGCGACCTATGCTCCTTCACGGGGAGTAATAGGCGTAAGTAAGTAAGTTGGTCAAAGGCCCAAAATTGCTCCAATGCCTTGGGGAGTAGACCTTTAGGTCAAAGGCTTGAGGTGTGGACCGTGCTTCATTTTGGATACTTGAGCAGTATTACAGTTCTCACACAAATCAATGACAACCAACGAATTCATTTTTATTGTGTAGCACATATATATTTGGTTCCCCCCTGCACCAATTAAGTTTATACTTTATACAAATGTTCGACCATATAAATCTATCGAAGGGTATGAAACTCCTGATAACAATGTTTATTTGGTTAGTCAGAGAGAATACTGAAGGTGAATATTCTGTTATAGAATATGTGATTGCGGATAGCGTTGTACAAGATATTAAATTGTTCTCTGAAGAAGCACGTCGACGTGTTGCTAGATTCTCATTTCAATATATAAAAGATAATGTCGTGAAAAATTTTGTGTTATGATTTGGATATTATCTGCTTAAATCCTGTTCAAGATCCATCTCGTTCCGTTATATCAAATTGGTATGGTAATACATTGAATGATCAGGCTGTTGGTTTAAATCAGGGTCTAGGTGTTACACCAAGCGAGAAAACTAGTGAAACTGAAGCTATATTTGAATCAGTTATTCGTACTGATCCTGATATTGCTGGTCAAGATTGTTCCAATCCAACTGCTCTATTCTCTTCAGCCATTATGATTCTTTGCTATATGGATTTAAATAAGTATGCAGATTTAATTAAATCTGCTGTCTTGGCCACAATACGTGAAGCGAAAAATCTTACAGCTGATCATGACAGTCGTTCCACTTGTTCTTAATATGCCAAATAAATGTGTCATAAAATTGAAATCGAAAATTGATTCAGTCATAGAGTTAACATATGTACGTCCTGTGAATATTGCATCAGTATAGCCATTATTCTATGCAAACTTCGTCTACAATTTCTAAAAATGAATAACATTTCTGTGCTTTTATTTAGCTTACCTCCATTTTACTAGGTTCAGTGAATTACCAATACTAACAACATACAATTGTATAACATTAAAAATGAATTTGCCCGAAAAACGTACTCTTTGCTGAACTAATTGTTTATATATATATGAATAGCTCATTCATATTGAAAAATGAACAAATTATTATTCATTATAATAAAGATAACTTAGACTTTAGAGAAATACATAAATTTCCTTTCATTTAAAATATGTTTATAGTTGAATTCATTCACCATGGAAAACATGGAAGCACTGGGCGACTGTTTCGTCCTAGAATGTTACTCCACAGCAGTGCGCATCCGCGATCCCTTTCGCAGAATTCGAACCACGGACCTTCGGTCTCACGCGCAAGCGCTTAACCTCTAGACCACTAAACCGGAATCCAACAGTGTTAACGTTTAACTCCAACCAATCCACAAATTCGCGCCAACGTCCACCACTGTCTTCAGTGAGTTACTATCTCACAACAGACCCGGTTGAACTCCACTGGTCACAGCTTCTCACTAGAACTCCAGCAAATACCTCTTGAAACTAGTTACTAGTGAGCACATGATGATTGTTATTTGTAGTGGAATTTGTGAAGATTTTAGTAATTTTAAAGTCTTGTTTGTAAGCAAGTGAAAAAAATGGACAGATATTGAAATTATCTTTTTACGATACAAAATAAAATAGAACAGGCAAAATAATATCTAACTGCAACATCAATTGTATATTGAATCCATGGAAAAAATTCTATTTTATTATCAGTTACATGAAATCAAACAGAAAATATCAACCAATAATAGATAAATGTATCAATCAATGTGAAGTAACAATACGATTCAAAACTATGGAATTACTTGAAAAAACGTTTTGAAAATCAACGTTCATCCGTTTGCTTAAAATAATGGTTAATAATCAAGCAACAGATAATACAATCAGCAACAGTCTACTGTAGGAGAGAACAAATTAGCTTCCACCTGAGAAGGAAACCAGGAAAATACGATGGGAGTAGACAGGACACACATTGAAAAAATCAGCAAACTGCATCACGAAGCAAGCGCTTACTTGGAAGCCTGATAGGAAACGACGAAGAGAAAGGCTATAGAACACATTGCGGCGGGAATCGGAAGCAGGATGAATAGTAACTGGAAACAACTGGAAAAGATTTCTCAGGATAAAGTTGGATGAAGAATACTAATAAAAGTTTAATGCTCCTCCAAAAAGTGTAACAGGCGTAAGAATTTCAGTATATAATACGAATTAACACTAAAATTAACTGGTTAAGAATTAAAGCAACGAAGAAATGGTGCAGTCGAAAGTTGTAGCTATCAGAATGTGACAAAAGCAAGAGATCACGTTTTAACTCTGTGTAATCTTCGTTTTGTGACACTTTTGTTTTAGTGCGGTGGGAAATTTTTTTCAGTTAAATATTCAGTTACTTTTGATGTGATATTTTTTCAGCATAGTATTCTTTGTATTAATTTAATGTACATCTAGTTCAGTACAATGCGTGGCATATATTCGGTAGCAAGCTTCTATGAGATCTGTTTTTTTTACTTCCTTCATTACGGTTACAAGTGACATTTGCAAATAGATAAACGACTTGTCGAGTGTTTGGTGGGTGAAAAATATCTGTTTCTGTCATCATTTTTATCTTTTTACTTGTGTTGAACGAAACTGTTTTTCTTTTTCACATATCAGAATCCAGCTATATGAAAATAGCTAAAATGACTTTTTTTACGACATTACATTCTTCTAGTTAGACAGCTTAGTTTCAAAGCTTAAAATGTTACTCTCAAAAATTATATTTTTCATTGCGTCAGGCAAAAGCCTTTAGTTACAGGTGGTTACAGTGAAAGTTATCAAAAACGATATTTATAGTCTACATCAAGTATAAATACTATCGAACTTAACTAAAAATATCACAGTAGTCGGTACATTGCTGTTATGAGATGTTGTTAAGAAAAACAAGACGCGATTCCGAATTCTGCAAATGAAGATGAACGCTACTGGATAACGTTCTACATACATGCTTTGAATAGTAAGACGTGGAAATGGAATTATTTGTGAAGTTTTTACTGTGTTGTATAGTGTCACTGAGAATCTCCTTCATTGTTATTCGGAATAAAAAGATAAAAATAAATTTTATTATTTGTGATTTGTGAAATAGTTCTACAATACTCACTTCTGCATTTCAGGTAGGTGATAACATTTTTTATGGTAGTAACTCATTATATCAATCACTTCGTTGTGTACAACATATGTGAAACATAGTGTATCATTTAATTTCTGCTTATTTGATTTGTCAGTACTTAACTCCAAAGATTACCACTTATCACAGTATACCATCTTGTTGAAGGATTCAATAAGAAAACCAAGAAAGGTTGTATTCTTATCAGTACTTATGAAAAACAACGACATCATGAATGATAAATATGATGCTTTCTAGATTGTAGAATCTTCTTGTGAAATCTCACCTCATGTCAAATATCACTTAAGGCACACAAAAACTGGAAAATCTACAAATCAAATCGATATTAACAGTATGTCTTACATTTAATAGCCGCTAAATTGATATTTAAAGTCAATAAAATTCAGAAAGGCTTTTCGAAATATAAGTGAGGCAAATAACTTGGGTTTTTCATATAAGGCTGAAACTATCTGCACTCAGAAGAAAGAGTAAGTCTGATTATCCAACATACTTATGTTGTTTATTGAAACAACTGCATTTAAGTCTATTCAGTTCTCACACTATTAATATGAAATATTTAGCTATAGGAGCTTTCGTCACTGTTATAATGTTATCAGTTTAGGGGTTGTGGAGATTGTTAAGTTATTGATTGAGATCATGAACTGATTGATGTTAGACCACCATTGAAAACCTGGAAGCACTGGACGGCCGTTTCGTCCTATTGTTGGATTCCTCAGCATTGCGCATCTACGATCCCGCCTGAAGAGTTCAAACCCAGGGCCATCAGTCTCACGCGCGAACGCTTAACTTACTGGACCACTGAGCCGGCATCCAATGGTGTTAATGTCTAACCTCAATCAATCCATGAAATCGCGCGACCATCTCCCATCGTACTGAGGTAGACATCTGTTTCTACCCAACACGGATTAGCCCCACTAGTCACGGCTTCTAGATTTACTTATTATGAGTTTTGTTCAAGATTACTTCTGTTTTGATTCAATCTGATGATTATTCAGTGTAATATTTGATTTGTTTTCTCGTATATTTTATTCTGTATAATGTACGATATTCTTGTGTTCCATTGACATGAACTATGCTCAGTATGTGATTCGTTATAACTAAGTACCATTTATCATGAGAAAAATCAACAAGAATTGGATGGAATTAGAAAAGGCCCAGAACAGAGTGGGTTGGAGAATGCTGGTCGGCGGCCTATGCTCCATTAGGAGTAACAGGCGTAATTAAGTAAGTAAGTAAGTACCTTTTATAAATGTGATTTTATCCTAATTGTTAATCAATGTGTTTGTACAATTAATATATACATGAGTGTATTTTCGACTAGAGTCGAATATATAATAAATGTATAATAAATCTTCACTTATACCAGTCTTTGTGTTCTCACTTTTGCGTCGTGGGGATTGTGAAGGTCCCTCGTTCCTAGTATTAGTGATAATCGTTTCCAATATAACAATCAGCGACGACCAGATATAACAAGTAAGTATTCAAACGACAAGACATATCACACTGTATTCATTTGAAATCATTAATAACTAGATTTAAATCTTTATTTGATCAATAATGTGCAGACTTACTTTTAATCAACTTCACTTTTACATGTTAACTTCCATAATAATTTCGATTTTTAAATACTTTAAGTTGTGAACACCTAATGAGAACCTTATGAAATACAATGAATTCATTTAATCTTGTTCAAACTTCTTTTCACTGTAGTAAATAGAACTATGTGTATGAATAAAACCAAAGAATTTTCTGTCAATTAATGAAGTTATTGATTTCATTTGATTATGGAGACTTTGGACATTTTAATCCATAATGAACAACAAGAAAAAGTAAAAAAATAAACAGAGAATCATACAATCATCTAATCCTTATTAATTTAATGGTAACGTAAATCACTTCTAATAAAACATTCAGTTTCAAACCTTTGTTTACTTTTCTGGTGGTTACTAAAGTAATGATGTGTGGTGGCTAGCAGTGAAATCCAGGACATGCGTTTCGTCCTATTTGAAGCTAGTCAGCTGAATATAACTGCAAATAATACAAACAATACAAAAAAGGAGTTAATAGAGTATATTACAACTGATTATCAAAACCGTTTACAACAGAAATTGATATCAAACATTGGAAACGAAGAAGTATTAATTGATCGTTCAAATTACGTGAATATAACACTACCTAAGTTTAAAAATTGAAACTTTTGGACATGATTATGACTACTTGGTTTTGTATATACTGTTAGACTTAAAGATTCACAATTATAATTACATGTATATAGTTATTTCAGTAGAAATGTATTTACTATAGATTCTATATGTTAGTTACTCAAAACTGTAATTTCAATTAATTGAACTTATTAAGAAGTCACTACATTTCGTAGTCACATGACAAACAGTAAGAATAATGATACTGGTTATAAATCATTTATTACTTATTATACATGTTGCCTCATTAAACTTAACACTATCATCATTATTCATACATTCACAATTAATCAATCAATCTGTAGTTTATAGAATAATTGAAATTCAAACAATAATTTACTATGTTCTATTGACAAACTAATTTTTTCTTGGTATGCTAAGTAATCAATCCTTCAAATCGAATTCAATTAAATGTTAGACATGTAATAAAAATACCATTTAGTCACTATGACTACTTCAGACTTTATTTCTCTATCTGTGGTCCCAATATGATACTTTAAAAAAAGAACAATGATGACACTTAATAGTCGAGTTACGTAGAAAAAATAAGACCACATACATCATTCTTATCATAATGTTCTAAGTGAATATAGTTTCTTAATTTCTGGGTGGCCTAATATTCTATTTATAGGTACTTTAGAATTAAAACCAGCATCAACATAAAACACAATTACAGCCTTTGTCACATTTTTTCCACTTACTTGGATGTAACTGTCAATTAGAATTTATCAAAAAAAAGCTGATGTTAATTTTTTTAATAAAATTAATGAGTTATTATTTCCAAACAATAAAGGAAATATATATATTTGATATTTAAATGAAATTGACTATAGTTATAGTTGTTTTCCATTGAATATTCTTTTTACTCAACATGAAACACATTTGAGATATATATTTCCCTTTAGAAATAAAGTATTGAATCAAGACAGATTTGTGTTAGTGCCTAAACGAATGAGAGGCGGCGACGTAGTTAAAAACTGTCAACTTTTTCATTGATTTTAATATTTAAATTCCCCTCGTATAGTTGATATCTGAATAAACCTCAGTATGGATTCGGAAAACTGTTAGTATTAGCAAATTCGCACCATTTGCGACGTAATCATTACGTTAGAAAAGAAAAGGCGTGTATAAAAGAAGGAAATTCACTTAGTTCTACTTTATGGTTGTGAAACCTACGAAAGTCAAAAACAAAGGTGGTCAGAAAGCTTTTCATAACCAAGATACAACATCAGTCAGTAACATCTGGTAATATTTCAAACAAACATGTGTTATTCTAGCCTCTGAACAGACCGACTTATTCATTCTTTTCGTGCTATATTTTGATTGTGGAGCTTTCATCGTTCTTCTAAACGACACCATCGGCACAAACTTCAGGTAGAAGTGAAGTGTTCAAATTTCTCCATATGTGGTTCACAGTTTGTCCTGTACACTTCGATGTTGAACACTTCTATCTAAAGTTTGTGCTGATGATATCGTTCAGAAGAACGATGAAAGCTCTACAAAAAACCATCCAGCTCAGAGAACAAAACTCCAACAAAATCATCCACCTGAGCTACAAATCTCTACCATCTCACTCACCTTCCTCACTTTGCTTTGTTTTTCATTTTCCTAAATATATTCTGCCTTTCGCTTTCTCCATTCGTTTCGTTAGTTGCCTGTCCGAATCAACGAATGTACGAAATACACATATTAAAACTCCATTCTACTGTTTGATTCATTTTATTGTTATTCTCCAACGTGAATTAAGTCAGTAATTATGTACGAAGGTAACCGAGATATATATTTCGATAACATTGTTTTACAATCAAACCGGAGTCAGATGAACGACCACAAAAATCCATGAATTGACTGACTGTCGGTGTAAGCACACTGGTTAGTGCATATTACGTGGTTGGGAGTTGTGTACTCTAATCCTAATTAGTGTGTGATAGTTTAGAACCGCTCACACTGATACAGACGCATTCACTTATATTTCATTAGTAAATTCCATTTGTCTCATAAAAATTACTGTCTAAGTCAAAACAGTAACGTGAGACTGGAATGAAAATTAATCACCGGAAAGCATATGATCAATAGTAGTTCACAAAGTTGTGGGAACTTAAATTCCTTTAATTTGAACACGTAAAATCAGGTGGCACTAGACAGCTATACTGTCAACATAAGGGATCTAACACAGGATCTTCAGACAATTAAGTTAATATACATTAGGATTTACATATCCAACTTAAGACAGTTGGCGAATTCAACTACCATCAGTGATAATTATCCGTTGTTCAATATAATTGAACTATTCCAACCAAGATTTATCTACAGAAGAACAGTGAATTCGTCTCGTACTTATATATTCGTTAAATTTAACTCTAGCAGTTATAGAAAATAGCCAAAAATCAGCACTGTTATATCAATCAAATACTCTACCTAACTTATCTCAAATCCTTCATATAAAACTAACAATAAACATAAAAGAGTAACCGGTTGTAAAAACAAAGAATATTAAAAAAGAGCATAAACTGTAGCGTGAGAATTGCTCATTAACTTGTATTAATCATGTAAATCTGATAATATTCATTCTTTTCATTTTATCACCAAAAACAAAGTTTAGTTGTTAGATAACTGAACAGTTAGCTATTAACATATTATGATCACTAATTGATTGATTGTTAGTGTGTTTAGCTTCACTGGGTTTTTTTTCCTTAATTCATTCATATAGAATCTTGTGAATATATCATTCTAATGAATAATTGCCTAGAGAATAGTTTTAAATATCTAGAAAAATTCTTTTGATCTTAAATTTTTTTCAAAAAAACTTATTTCACAGTTATATATAGATATTGACGTATATATTTTGAAGTTCAAAGGAATTGCGGCATTGTCAATAAAGTTTTCTAAGAAATGGGTCAAAAGTTATCACTAGAATTGATACTAATATTCTTACAACTACCACCGTCCGACGTTGTAGCTGACTGACTGGCTGACAAATACCACCACTAATAATAACAATAATCCCTATCACTTTAGCTATGTGTAATTGATTGTATATAATATAAATTTTTAAAATAAAATTACTTTAGAACTTAGTTACTGATCATTAATGACTTAAATTACAATTAATCATGTAAATAGATTCATGAAAATTATTCGACTATTGTAAATCATAATTGAATGAATTCAATATTTCATTATGTAAATATATTTAATTGAATAGTGTAGTATTTGTATTAAACGTTTACATAAAATCTTTAAAAATATCTACTTATATTAGTAGTATATAAGATGTATGAAATAAATAGAATTCTAGTTATTTTCAGTTTGTATGTAAACAAGA